TGGGCAGCTGCTCCTAAACCCGGAGGCACCACGCACCTTAGAGCCTGCTACCGAGGAAGAGAGCCAGGCAGGTGAGATCACAGGGACACAAACGGGCTCACCCTACCAGCCAGGTATCAAAGAAAACGTCCAGAATCTTGCTCTGCCCTGAACACCCAGCTGTGGGCTGTGCAGGTGGGGGAGTGACTCAGCACTGCCGAACACCTGGAGAGAGAATCTGTCCCACTGGCAGGCAGACAAAGGCACAGGCTAAAGCCCCAGCTGTTTGGTGATCCTGACACTCGGCGGGGAGAGGGCTGCACAGAGCTGCATGCAAGGGATCCCAGTCTCCTGATGTTCTGGGTTTGCTGCCTAATGCCTTTTCAAAATATGAAAGAAAAAACCTTGTGTATGGACACAAACATTTGAATTCAGTATTTAATTCCTCATCTACAGGGACTCAATGCCCACGTACTGACGGTAAGTCACTAAAGCACACAGCCCTCATAAAGCCATCAGCACAGGAGTCTGAATCCAGATGCGCCCAGGCAGGGCAGCTCCAGCTTCTGACCAAATAAGTGGATGACATCGTCAAGTACCCGGCTACAAGGCTGCCGTGTCACCATTATCACTACTGCACCCGGCCACGAGGCAGCTGTGTCACTATGATCACTACTGCACCCGGCTACGAGGCTGCTGTGTCACCATTATCACTACTGCACCCGGCTACGAGGCTGCCGTATCACCATTATCACTACTACACCCGGCTACGAGGCTGCCGTGTCACCGTTATCACTACTGCACCCGGCTATGAGGCTACTGTGTCAGCATTATCACTACTGCACCCGGCTACGAGGCTGCTGTGTCAGCATTATCACTACTGCACCCGGATACGAGGCTGCTGTGTCACCATTATCACTACTACACCCAGCTACGAGGCTGCTGTGTCACCATTATCACTACTACACCCGGCTACGAGGCTGCTGTGTCACCATTATCACTACTGCACCCGGCTACGAGGCTGCTGTGTCACCATTATCACTACTGCACCCGGCTACGAGGCGGCTGTGTCACCATTATCACTACTGCACCCGGCTACGAGGCTGCCGTGTCACCATTATCACTACTACACCCGGCTACGAGGCTGCTGTATTGCATTATCACTACTGCACCCGGCTACGAGGCTGCCGTGTCACCATTATCACTACTACACCCGGCTACGAGGCTGCTGTATTGCATTATCACTACTGCACCCGGCTACGAGGCTGCCGTGTCACCATTATCACTACTACACCCGGCTACGAGGCTGCTGTATTGCATTATCACTACTGCACCCGGCTACGAGGCTGCCGTGTCATCATTATCACTACTACACCCGGCTACGAGGCTGCTGTATTGCATTATCACTACTGCACCCGGCTACGAGGCTGCCGTGTCACCATTATCACTACTACACCCGGCTACGAGGCTGCTGTATCACTATGATCACTACTGCACCCGGCTACGAGGCTGCTGTGTCACTATTATCACTACTACACCCGGCTACGAGGCTGCTGTGTCACCATTATCACTACTACACCCGGCTACGAGGCTGCTGTGTCACCATTATCACTACTACACCCGGCTACGAGGCTGCTGTATTGCATTATCACTACTGCACCCGGCTACGAGGCTGCCGTGTCACCATTATCACTACTACACCCGGCTACGAGGCTGCTGTATCACTATGATCACTACTACACCCGGCTATGAGGCTGCCGTGACACCATTATCACTACTGCACCCGGCTACGAGGCTGCTGTATCACTATGATCACTACTGCACCCGGCTACGAGGCTGCCGTGTCACCATTATCACTACTACACCCGGCTACGAGGCTGCTGTATCACTATGATCACTACTGCACCCGGCTACAAGGCTGCTGTGTCACCATTATCACTACTGCACCCGGCTATGAGGCTACTGTGTCACCATTATCACTACTGCACCCGGCTATGAGGCTACTGTGTCACCATTATCACTACTACACCCGGCTACGAGGCTGCTGTGTCACCATTATCACTACTGCACCCGGCTACGAGGCGGCTGTGTCACCATTATCACTACTGCACCCGGCTACAAGGCTGCTGTGTCACCATTATCACTACTGCACCCGGCTATGAGGCTACTGTGTCACCATTATCACTACTGCACCCGGCTACGAGGCTGCTGTGTCACCGTTATCACTACTGCACCCGGCTACGAGGCTGCCGTGTCACCGTTATCACTACCGCACCCGGCTACGAGGCTGCTGTGTCACCATTATCACTACTGCACCCGGCTACGAGGCTGCTGTGTCACCGTTATCACTACTGCACCCGGCTACGAGGCTGCTGTATTGCATTATCACTACTGCACCCGGCTACGAGGCTGCCGTGTCACCGTTATCACTACTGCACCCGGCTACGAGGCTGCCGTGTCACTATGATCACTACTGCACCCGGCTACGAGGCTGCCGTGTCACCATTATCACTACTGCACCCGGCTACGAGGCTGCTGTATCACCATTATCACTACTGCACCCGGCTACGAGGCTGCCGTGTCAGCATTATCACTACTGCACCCGGCTACGAGGCGGCCGTGTCACTATGATCACTACTACACCCGGCTACGAGGCTGCCGTGTCACCATTATCACTACCGCACCCGGCTATGAGGCTGCTGTGTCACCGTTATCACTACTGCACCCGGCTACGAGGCTGCCGTGTCACCATTATCACTACTACACCCGGCTACGAGGCTGCTGTGTCACCGTTATCACTACTGCACCCGGCTACGAGGCTGCCGTGTCACCATTATCACTACTACACCCGGCTACGAGGCTGCTGTGTCACCGTTATCACTACTGCACCCGGCTACGAGGCGGCTGTGTCACCGTTATCCCTACCGCACCCGGCTACGAGGCTGCCGTGTCACCGTTATCCCTACCGCACCCGGCCATGAGGCTGCCGTGTCACCGTTATCCCTACCACACCCGGCCATGAGGCTGCCGTGTCACCGTTATCACTACCGCACCCGGCCATGAGGCTGCCGTGTCACCGTTATCACTACCGCACCCGGCCATGAGGCTGCCGTGTCACCGTTATCCCTACCGCACCCGGCCATGAGGCTGCCGTGTCACCGTTATCCCTACCGCACCCGGCCATGAGGCTGCCGTGTCACCGTTATCCCTACCGCACCCGGCCATGAGGCTGCCGTGTCACCGTTATCCCTACCGCACCCGGCCATGAGGCTGCCGTGTCACCGTTATCACTACCGCACCCGGCCATGAGGCTGCCGTGTCACCGTTATCCCTACCGCACCCGGCCATGAGGCTGCCGTGTCACCGTTATCCCTACTGCACCCGGCTACGAGGCTGCTGTATTGCATTATCACTACTGCGTCACCGCCGCGCCTGGCTGCAGGGCTGCTGCATCGCCATTGTCACTACTACACCTGGCTACGGGGCTGCTGTATCACTGTCGTCACTACTGCACCTGGCTACAAGGCTGTTGTATTTCATTATCACTACGGCGTCACCGCTGCACCTGGCTGCGGGGCAGCTGCACTGCTATTGTCACGTGGCGCCTGGCTGTGGGGCTGCTGTATCACTATCATCACTACTACACCTGACTGTAGACCGCACCCAATCACCTCTTCTATTACAGGACAGGTCATACCTGCTTTTAATTTTATATGTATGACCATCAAGCAATGAAGATATTTCCATCAACAGTGGAGAAATACCTGGTCACCTCCAAGTCCATTCCAGCCCTCTACCTCACTCGTGTGACCCAGGGTGCTACCTACTGCAGGACTGTGTGAGGCCTGACTTCTGGTCCCTTCCTTCAGGGTTGGGGTAGGTGGCACATTCTCCAGCCAGGCCTGGGGGCCATGGCTTCCTTTGCAGGCACCCCTGGTCAAAACTGGGCAGGAGCCACAGAGAGATACTTTCCACTGTTTCCTGCAAGGACCAGTTCAATTATCCAGCTTCCTGCTATCCTTGTTCTACAAGTGAAGTTTAGTTTCAGTTTATTTTTTTCTGTTTTTTTTTTTTTTTTTTTTTGGAGATAGGGCATTGCTCTGCTTCCCAGGCTGGGGTACAGTGGCATGATCTCGGCTCCCTGCAGCCCTAACCTCCCAGAATCAATGATCCTTCCACCTCAGCCTCCCACGTAGCTCGGACTACAGGCATGTGCCAGCATGCTGGGCTCATTTTTATATTTTCTGTAGACACAGGGTTTCACTATGTTGCTCAGGCTGGTCTTGAACAACTGGGCTCAAGCAATCACCCCACCTAGGCCTCCCAAAGTGCTGGGAAGACAGGCATGAGCCTATTGTGCCTGGCCCAGTTTATTTTTTAAAGTATTACCTGACAAAACTAGAGGGACAGTGAGATCGGGGCTGCCAGGTGTTAAGAGGGATGAACAGGTAGAGCACAGAGGATTTTCCGGGCAAGGAACTCTGTACAACACTGTCATGGTGGACACATCATCACACATCTGCCCAAACCCCAGAATATACAACATAAGGAGTGAACCTTTGGACTTGAGTTAATCATGATGTATCAGTATCAACTCATCAGCTGTGATACAGGCAACACACAAATGAGAGATGGAGTGAACAGCAGAACCTGAGGGGAGGGCGGTGCTGTGAAAACTCTACTTTCTTCAGTTTTTCGGGAAATCTAAAAGTGTTCCAAAATAATTAAGTCTCTCAGAAGCCAAAAAACTACTATTAAAAATAGTACTAAACACAATTTGTGCTGAAAGGAGAGCTTGGCGGATGCCCACTCAACATGTCATAAACACACCACGAACCTCCAAGGTGTGATGCCAAGGCGTGCCCTGGACACTCGCGATGCTGAATCGGGGGAAGGCACTGGAGAGGCTGGGCTGGCTGGAGCACTGAGGTCACAGCCAGGACAGCCTGGGTGAGCTGCTGTCACAGGCAGGACTACCACAGTCTCCTGCACCCACCCTTACTGGCTTCACCAATCCTGATTCCGTTTGGTTTCTTTTAAGTTGTTTCTATGCTACCCTGTGGTACGCCAACCAGAAATCAGAAGCTACACAACGAATGTTCAGCAGAGAGGTGTTTGTGACTGGGACACACCTATTTGTTACATCACAGCAAGAACTGAGTTAGGGAACTGGGCGGGGGGCCAGACTGCATGAATGAGCCCAACGGTTTCAGGACCAATCTGCTCCCGAAATGCTCTATCTGGGGCTCCTACCTTGTCCCCATGACCCTGCCACGACACCCACAAAGCAGAGATGTAGAGTCCAGCCACTGCCTCAGTAACAACCACCCATCGACGCCCAGGAAACCTGAGAATGGGCACCTCATCACACTGGGAGAAACCTCCCCTTCTCCACGATCACTGCCAAAAGAAACCGAAGGGCCTGTGAATCCTCTCCATATCCATCGGTTTCCACCTTCCAAACATCAAGTTCATGTACCTAACAAGGAGGACCAGGACAGCCTGCATACAGAAGAAATGTCCCATTCCCAATGCCATGAGCTCCTTTGTGTCAATCACTGGGCTACAGCACTGGAGAAGGTAGCATATGAAACAGATGCTTCTACTGAGAATACACTAACAATTCAAATAAACAAAAAGGCTTTCTGAGGATGGAGAGGAGCAGGACTCACCATATGCCACCACTTACTGGACAATTTACATGTGATCTCATTGGAGACTTACGATTCTACCGAAAACATTCACAGGGTTTCCATTTTACAAATGAGAAAACTGAACCTATGCTGTGATTACCTCACAATTATTAGACTGCAAGTCCACACTGCTTCTATTCCAACAGGCAAACCCACTAGACATAACCCCTCTCCACCACCATGATCCTGGCAGACATCAATAATCAATCATGACATACTCTTTCACTGAATGTGGATCAAGCCTCAAGATTTTTCTCAACCTAACATTTAAGAGCATTGTCAAATAATCAACCACCATAATACAAACTTCTCTGACACCCACCCACTCATCAAACCACACAACAGTGAACCAAATGAATTTTGAGAATGTGAGTTTATATTCAATTCATGATCGTGAGCTTCTCCAGAACGCCCTGTAGCTCCGGAAGAGAAGTAGAAAAACTACACACTGGGAATGGATAACATAACCAAGATTAAGGGAGAAGAGAAAATATACGATTTAGGGATTGTTAAGGTGTTAAGAAGAAGAATCACCAGGCTAACCAAAGTGGGGAAAAAGAACGAACAAAAAAAAAAAATTTAGGAAACATGGAAGCATGCCTGAGCTAGTGAAGAATTCAGGAGCTTACAGACATGAGCGATAGCTCGTCAGGTAAAAAAAACAAAAACCAGCTGATTTAGGCAGAAAGATTCTAATTTCAACATTCTTTCTCCAGTGGTTATTCAGAGATGACCTGAACTGATCTTCCTTCACAATGTATAGAGCTAACAGACCCACTAAGGGAAGAAAAACTCATGTGGATTTTCAGCTTGTCAATGTAAGTCCCTGTAAAAACACACGCTATTTGGTGAAAACTATGAAAAACACACCTCCAGGTTGTTAAAAAGAGTACTTCTTTAAAGTTGGTAAGATTTACTTTAATCTGAGAGTCTCAGGAGAATAAGGAATGAGAATTTAAAAAAAGATCACTTCCACTTATACATAAACCAGAACTACAGTTGCAATGTTATGTGATTTATTTCAGGGGGAAACAAGACACAAATAGACACAATTAATATTAGAAGGCAGAATCTCATCCAGAACTGTTAGGGTCCTTGCAATAGGGGGAGAATTTATTTAAGTCTCCTATCTTAATTTTTATTTCTTGTTGGTTACATAAAAGTTGGATGACAGCTTAACTCTTCATCATAAGTTTTACTCACCTCTTTCTGACGACCTACAAACCGGAGTCTCCTGTAGTCTTTTTCATCATAAACCTGAAAAAACCCAAAAAGACCAGGTGTGACTTTCACAGCCTAATTCTGAAAAAAGTCACTTCATATCAATCATAAATATTTCAGGTGAGTGTTTTTCTTAACTTTCAGGCCATTGATGAAAAGTCAAACAAGTGAGTGGCACAGTACACGGTTAATCAGGAGCATTTTTGGCAAGATACCTGGGATCAAAACGCGTGAGCACCTGAATCAGAGAGCAGCACAGAGAGGTAGGTCGGGAAGCTGGAGCTGAGGAGGAGAGACAAATCCTCCCCGAGGAGAACCGCCCCAACCTTCCTTCGCATATGGCCAGATGGCTTTATATATCCCCCCCTTAAATCTCCCAGGGCACATTTGCCTTTATTCTTCATTTTGGCTTACAACATTTTTGTGCCCTGGACTACAATCGACTTCTCAGGTTACTAAAGCTTATAATTGTATATTACACAAATTCTAAACGCTGACCCAGAAAATCAGCGGCTATAGACCGCCTGTGGGCAGTCACCCCACAGCAAAGCCTGCCCCCCGGGGCAGAGCCCGCAGGCCCTGGGAGGACGAGACCCACCGCTGCCGGCCGCCGCCACCGTCCCGACACGCAGGCAGGCCTCCTTCCCGGCGCGCGAGCGACACAAGCACAGCCTTACCACTACCTGCGCAGCCGGTAGCGCAGAACCAGAGCCGCGGATGGCCGGCGAGCCCACCGCCACCAGCCGCCAGAGGCGCGGCCGGAGGCAGTTCTGTACCCAGCGACCGTTACCTGGCCAGTGTGTGTGATCTTCTCCCCGGTCGGCGAAATCTGCACCCCGAAACACCTGGCGCCCAGGGGCAGGCTCCGCGCAGCCGCGCCGGACCGGCACAACAGCCGGCAGAAGGTCACCGTTGCCGCCATCTTGAACGGCTGACATTTGACCCGGCGCAACGTCGCTCTTAGAGCCGTCGCATGCGCACGGCTTCTGTTGGCGCCCGTACTCCCGGGACTTATTTCGCCCTGGGGAGCGCGCGCGGGTCGGGGCGGAGGTTGCGCATGCGCTAGGCAGGTGCAGCCTCCGGCTGGAGCTAGGTCCCGGATGCGGCAGGCAGCGGTGTGCGCAATCTTCAGCTCTCAGGAGTGCCCAGTAGTTCTTATTTAGGGAACCGGCAGGGGAGGCTGTAAACTGAAAATACATTGTTTATGTTCGTATGGTAACCGATAACCATGAGACGTTTAAATATCAAAAACTTCTATTGGGTGAAGGAGTCGACTGCTTAGCAGAAGAGACCGGAAGTGCATTCTCCTGGTTCCAGGCCAGCATTCCCGTGAGAGGTCATGGGGAACCGCGGAGGAAGAGTATATCTGGGAGATTTCTGCAGCAGAGCCCAGTACGCCGATTCACTTTATCCAGCATGCAAACACGGCCTCTAAAAAGACCCATTTTGTTGGCTATAAATCCCAGCTTAACGCTCCAGCATCCAGCTTTTATTTGCTGTGGTCAGAGCCTGAGGACCAGGTGACTCCAAGAACAAAACACTAGAGATGGATGAGAGGCCGGGGAGATGAAGAGGGGGAAAGGCGGTGAGAAACAAGGATGCACAGGAAACCCTCCTGAAAATTGGGAAAGCTGTCCCAATAAACGTGGTGGTCGGCGCAGATTTGTCCTGGAGCTGATAAACTCCACATGCCCGCCCCCTGTTCGCCAAGTCAGGTGCGAAAAGTGGGCGCTGCGGTGCGCCTGAAGCGTTGGGGCCTGCACGGAGCGCGGGCTGGATGCAGCCACCTCTGCAGCTCACCTAGACGCACACAGAGGAAGGCGGCTGGAGTCACGGGTAGATCCCTGAAAAGGCAGGGATAAGCGAGCCAACTGTAGAATCTAGGTGGCAGTATGCGGGTGCTCACTGTCAAGTTCTTCCCGTTTTTCTGTATGCCTGGAGTGTTCCATACCGTACCCAGCTGGAACCACTTCCGGCCTCCACTCGGTTCCCGGAGCCTGTTTACATTTCTCCCGGGATGTCCCCTTATAAACATGTCCTCTTTCTCAGTTTGTTTTGACATTGGTACTTGTCAGCTTTTCCTAAGGTCTAATTGGTTGTCATTTCTGTTTTTGTTCCGAATATCCATTTTCCTTCCTGTTTCTCGCCTTTTTTGCCGAGAGCGCCCCTGGCCCGCAGGGAGCGCGCCGTCTGCGAGCCTCGGTCTCCAGCGCCTGCGCACTCGCGGCTGCGTCTCTGCGCCCGACGCTGGACGTGGGCACGCCACGTGACTCCCGCCGCCATTTTCCTTCCTGGCAGCGGCGTCAGCGTCCCGGCGGGCACACGGCAGTGCAGGCGCGGGCTGAGGGCGCGGGGCTAGGTGCCGGCGCTGTGTTCTCAGGTCCGGGGTCCCGGGTTCGAGAGGGTGGGGCCGGCCATCTTGGGCCCCTAGGCCTGTCTCCCCGAGTGGGCCGCGGTCGGAGAAGCGCGGGCCCGGGCCTGGCGGTGTCGGAGGGTCAGGGTGGGGGACGGATCCGACCTGGGCGCCCGACCTGGACGGCGGGAGGGGGTGTCGAGCGACCCCGGGGCGGGGACCCCGCGGCCAGCGCGCGGAGCCTGCCCCGGTGCCGCGGTGTCCTCCGGGCGCTGCAGACCCAGCTCCTCCCAGCCGGGGCCCCGGGCGCGTGGGGAAGCAGCGGCGGGCGGCCGGGCTGCCAGGGCTCCGAGAGGAGGCCAGGGGTTGCGGTCTCGGGGTTTTGTCCTGAAACTGGCCCGAGGGAGGGCCCCTGGGACTGGGGAAAGTGGGAAGGAGGCGCTCGTCAGCTGAACCCCTTGACCTGGTGTGACTTGGAAAGCGATGCGGCCTCAGTGTGAGCTCCCTCCCGGCCAAGTCGGCCGCTCGTCAGCCTCGCGGGGCCCTGCGCCCTCGCCTACACCTGCAGCAGGCGGGAAAGGGAAGGAAGCCACCGTCCAGTGCCCCTTGTTCTCCCCGCACACACGGCCCATTAAGGCAGTTGAATCTGTGGTCGGGGCTGCAGCTGGTGTGGAAACGCCCTCTGACCCCGTAGTCGCTGCCTTCCCAAGCCTCGGTGAAGCGGGAAAGGAAGCCTCAAATAGCAGGTGGAAACACAGGAGAAGCTGTAACACCTCGTGTTCTCTCTCCCATAGATTCGCCACGACATGGCAACTCTTTTAATAAGGAAAATGGTGAACCCTCTGCTGTATCTCAGTCGTCACACACTGAAGCCTCCAGCCCTCTCCACGTTTCTGTTGGGATCCCTTGGAGGTGCTGCCCCCGTGGCTGTGGAACCCGGGGCAGGAGTGCGGTCCTTTCTCTCACCCGGCCTTCTGCCTCACCTGCTGCCTGCGCTGGGGTTCAAAACCAAGGGTGTCCTGAAGAAGCGCTGCAAGGACTGTTACCGGGTGAAGAGGCGGGGCCGGTGGTACATCTATTGTAAAACCCACCCGAGGCACAAGCAGAGACAGATGTAGATAGTCCCTTTCCCTCCAGAGTCCCGCACATTCTCGTCATGGTGAGTGGTTGTATCTTACGGAATTATCACATCAAGGAGTCAGGAGAGTGACTGGAGGCAAACGCCCTAAAGGTTACCTGTCACTTTTCAGTTCAGATGAGGAACTACAGAAGACATTGCGTCATCTCGTTTCTAAACATTCTAAACGTTCTAAAACGCTCCAATTAAAGGTATTTTCCTATTTGGATGGACTGTGAATAGCTTAGTTCATTCGTTCTCCCTGAACTCGGGCTGCAGTAGGGATGGGTGGTTCCGGGTGTGAGGCTGCTTAGGGCCTCTTGGAAGTCAGTGTTTGGTCACCTGTCGTTGCACAAACGGAGCTTAGTGGCTTCAATCAGCCATTTTACGTTGCTCGCAATTTGTGAGGAACTCACAGAGACCAGCACTCCTGTCTGGGGCCTCAGTGCCCCTCAAACTGCACGTGGCACCTCCTCAGGCAGGGCTCGGCGTGGCTTCCAGAGATTGAGTGTCTCGAGAGACCCACCGGACGCTAGGAGGCTTCCAGTGACCCAGCCTCAAATTCCGTCGTGGCATTTGTGCTGCACTCTTGGTTCAGCAATTCCCTGGGGTGAGTCCAGATTCACGGGCAGGTGAGGAGCTCCCTTGCTAGAGGTGGCCACACCTCGAAGCTGGCAAGGACTTGGAGGGCTGGAGTGGGCCGGTCCTGGCCTGCTCACCAGGACTTGGAGTTGAGTGAGGCGCAAACTTGGTGAGCGCTGTCAGCTCAGGCTGCCACAACACAGTATCTTCAGAGGGGATGTATCAGCAAGTGTGTTCTCAGTTCCGGAGCTGGACATATGAGATGGAGGTGAGAGCAGAGTTGGTTCCTCCTGAGGCCTCCTTAGCATGTAGAGGGGTCTTCTCCCTGCGTTCTTGCATGGGGGTCTCTGCATCTGTCCTCACCTCTTACAGGACATACCAGTCCTGTTGGATAAGGGCCCCCTCAACAACCTCTATTTAATTTTTATATTTTAATTGTCTCCAAATATAATCACTGGAGGTCCTGGGATCAGGATGTCAACATACAAATTTGGGGGTGGGGAGCACAGTCCGACCCAGAGCAGGTGCTGAGATGTTGGGACGGCCTTCCTGCGGCCTCCTTTCCTCATGGCCAGGGACACCTCCCCTTCTCCCAGAAATTCTTGAAACAGGAGACCGTGCAAGGAGCCTAGCCCCGGGGGAGCGCCCCCCCTCCCCATCCAGATCAGCAGCAGAGGGCAGCAAGGTCACCTAGAAAGGCCTGGTGGGGCAGCAGAGGGACACCATGGCCACATCAGGCCAAAGCCCAGCCCCAACACCCACATGACTTCAGAGGGAGCAGACGCCAGTGTGGGTTGCCATGAACACCATGCTGTGCCTGTTCACTCTCACGACAGGAGCGGGGACAGGAAGGGCCTCTGCAAGTGGCTTGACAGTGTTGCAGCCCGCAGGCATCTGGCCCAGTTGAAGAACATGGAGGGCATGTCCCCTGAAAGAGAAGGGAGGCAGCTCTGCGAAAACCCTGCTTCTGTGCAGTGAAAGGGAAGCCCTCACAAGCTGTTCTTAATTGTGACGTGGATGCTTTGGAGGGTGTGTCCCAGGAGATCCTGACAATGTCAGAAGCCAGACCCCACGAGACCTGCTGTGCACCGGGTCCGAGAAGAAGTCACAAGAGGGGACTTTCCTCAAGCGCGCGTGTGTGTGTGTATGTGTGCATGCATGTGTCCGCATACAGATGCACGTGTCTGCATATACCACCTGAACAGTGCGGGA